CCTTCCAACCCCCAACATTCTGTGATTCTATTATTCTATTCTATGATTCTATGACTGCTCCCAGAAATGACGACTCCTGCTGTACTGCATGAGCATGAGCACGAGCATGAGCAAGGCGGGTTCTCCACCTCACCATTGTGGCTGACCTCTCTCTGGTACCTTGCCTCTTGCTGTTCTTTCTTCTAATGTATCTACTAAGAGCTCAGCTAAGCTGTCACCTCACTTATACATAGGCCAACAAACATCCATCAGCTGGAAATTACTCTGACCTACTAATAACCTTTGAGGAACTTGAGCAGGCAGCTTCCAGACTGTCTCCCCAGAGCCACTACTCATGCTGAGGCTGTGCCAAATATCTATTTGGGCAACATCTATAGCTCCTGGAACTGATGGAAAATTAGCTAGGCTTCATGCTAGCTTCATGCTTGACTTGCTATTGCAGCTGTGTATCAAAAGGCAAATGAATTTCTTGGTTAATTCTGTAAGCATCTAGAAATTAACTTTGGATTTAAATTCGCATAGATGACCATGAAGAGCTCATAAAAAGTACTTTCCATTATAGATGAAGCATATTTTGTGTGTGCATTTATTTATTAAAATACTTCTCGCAATGATATTGAATGTTCAACTTAATAAATCTCTTTATTATTCCTTCGTGTGAAAACCAAAGATATTACTGCTTCCTCTTCACACTCTTTTTCATGTGCAAACTGCCATAATCCTTTAATAAGGTCTGAATATTTTTAGGCCCATCTTAATTATAAGGAAATAAAGATGCAGAGACAATAGCTGCTTGTCCAGAACCATTCACTGAAGTCAAAGGGAACACAACATTCTTCCTTGTTAGACCATATTTTCTTCTCCTGAACAGTCCATAAATTTCTAATGCTGAATTTGTGTTTAACTAGATACTTTTTTCATTTTTCCGTGGGTGGAACTAAATCAGCCAAAACTGTAAGAAACCCAGAAAGGACAGCACTACTATTTTTTTCAGACAAGTGTGGTTAGGAAGCAAATGATGTCTCATCCTGATACACTTCCCATATTAAAGGTCTGGAGTCCAGCTCCCAGATCAAAAGCTTCCCTGTGTGCATGACTTAAGGAATGTATGTAAGAGTCTTCAGGTAATCACTTCATTTAAAGTAGACAGAGCATACGTCCTAACTTACATGTGGCCAATCCTTAAATATGAGAGTTGAACACTGAGGTTCTTTTTTTGTCTCTGTTCAGTCCTAAGTTTAAGATGGAGCTCCTAGGCTTCACTGGGCTTTGTCACATGGCTTTTACATAACACTAGACAAATTTTCTAAATATCCTCGCACCTGAGTTTGCGCACTAGATCACCTCACAGGGGTCATTCATAACCACAGAAACTATCTAGGGCAAAGATGATCCTTTCCAGCCTGGCAGCTGGGATTACAGAATCCCCCAGTGCCCGTTCCCCAGCACTTCTGATACCGTTTTTTTAAATAAACTCGACAGAGTGGTTGAAGTCTCAAAGACACCAGGTTTCAGATCAGACCTACTACACTGCCTGCGTGAAGGATACAGTGACCATAATTAGTGTTCCTGCT